GCTGGGGATTCGAACCCGCCATCTTAGGTGTATGTGGCTGGCGCCTTAGCTGCTTGAGCCACAGGTGCCAAGCCGTGTTTTCACTTCTTAATGACCCACTTGTCAGCTGTGCACCAGACACTGCTCTTAAGAGTCCCACTGACTCAGTCAAGTCTTTGGAAATTTGCCTTCTCCTGATGGCAAATTAGCACACTTTGGAGACACTGGTTAAACACGTAAGCTACAGAAGGAGTCAGATAAAAATTAAACCAAACAAAAAGGACATCTCTCCACTATCCCACCAACACCCGCTTGCATCTCTCCACTCGTTTCCTGGTGTAGGCTAATTTGCATCACCACGTGCAAACACTCTGCAGATGCACTAACAGGGAGGAGTCTGCAGGAGTCTGAAGTCCAGAGCGAGCAGAACAGCAAATAATGGAAGGCAAGAAAAGAAATAAAACTAGTCTATTATTTTCGGGTAAGGCAGTAGGGTGGGGATCAGGACAGAGCCTCTGCCACCCCCACAGTTAGGGGAATGGCTGCCAAGGCATGAGGAGGCATTCACAATCAGAGATTCCCTGGGGAGGATTCCCCTTAAAACACAGCGCACTTACTACACTTGCATGGTGTATGACAAGCTCAGCTGTCAGCATCTTAGTGATGCTCCTTGTAACTGTACTATCTGCTGAACACTGGGGCAACCCATCACAATGCAAAGACAGCTAAGCCTCGGTGTCTTCTGAGTTCCAGGAAGCTCGGCAATGGAAGTGACTTGAAGTGAAGTTTATGCTGTCAACGAAAGTACTAAGTTTGTTTTCATGTCGTGGAGGGAGAGTCACTCACTGGCTTAAGCTAAGGTCCTGGACCTAGGGGAGCTCTCCATGAAGCAAACCTGCCACCTGACTTAAGGGCTAGAAAAGCAGGGACCGGCAGTCTGATTTCATAACAGTTTCAATCAATCCCAGTTAAAACAAATGACTGAGCAGCCACCAATTTGAAAGCAAACCACAGACAGAATCACAGGCGTTCAGATCAAGAAGGGAACCTGGCTTGACCCAGTCTAACAGTCTCAATTTGAAAGGGGAGTGATGGCTCAATCAATTCCTTTCCCTTAGTCTAGAACTCAGGCCCCCAGACCCATAAGGAAGGTATGTCACATTAAGATCCAAATTGCATGGTCCAGGAATGAGCTAGTGATCTTATGACCTGTGAAAGCTAGATTCTGAGAAAAAGATTCTCAGATTCTGAGAAAGATTCTGAGAAATGAGTTTTATCTGTCCAGTCAAGAGATATATTCAGACCCCTAGGCCAGAGGTCCTGAGAGGTCTATACAAACCGCACTTGGTATATTATAAGTTCTAGTCTCTCTCCTTCCCCATGATGAAATCAGCAAAAATGAAGCCCCACCTGTCTTTGGTTTTGTGACATCCTTCAGTTGGGGGATACTCTATTTCTCCAATCCTAAGTACCTCAGGGCTGTTTCTTTGGACCCTATGTTGAGTGATGTTTCTACAAGAAACTAAAAAGCCCATCTGTGCTCTTGCATAGATAGCTCTGCCTTCTCCAGGGACCAGAGGGACGGGGGAGGCAGGATCACCACTACCATCCGTTAACGTGACGGAGCTGTTCGTATGCACGTGCCACTAGCCTCCCTCGGGAACAGGCCTGCAAACCACGTTCAGCATTCTCACTAACGACCAAACGGCAACCAACCAGCCTTGAGATGTTCCCCAAACTGTCCACCAGCCTCCTCGGGTTTTCACCAGCACCAGCCACACCAGCAGAGGTGATAATATGCCTGAAACCACTATGGAAAGTTCCCGGCAGTGTGAAGGGCTATGTTTGTTCCTGGCCTCAGAGCTGCGTTAGTTAGGAATTTTATCCCCTTTTTTTTTTTTTTATAAGCTCAATATGTAGGACCCTGTTCTTCTCAAATAGGTTCTTCATAGAGGCCTTAAGGGTGGACACAGCACGTGAACTTCCTGTAAGAAAATTACTAAGACCTCGTTCCTCCTGGGTTTCTGATTCCCAGAGTCCTGACCCTTTAAATAGTTTCCCAGTAATGGAAAAGTAGAGATCTTCCCAAGGGAGATGTTCACTTTCCAGAGACAAGACAGCAGAGGAACAGTTTGTGGTTCTGTGGTTTCTGGAAGTCACAGGCTTCTAGACAAAGACAACCTGGCTTCTCCATCACTCCTGACTCTGCCAGGCAGGGAAAGGCACAGGGTCAGGTGCATGGAATCGAGAAGGAGCCCAAACACTCTTTTCAAATGAGGAAGTTCTATAAAACGCACCCCTAAAGCTTTAACAACTGATTCTAACGTCGCTGAGCCCTCCAACCCCAACGTTGTCTAACTCCAGCAGACACCGCGGATTCACAGAGAACACTTACCGTGCCGTGGGATATGGTCAGGAAGCCGTTTTTAACTGAACATTTCCTTTTCTGCCACACTTTTCGGATCCTTGTGGACAATGGGAGAAACAATAGAAGTTGAGGCATTTTGGACACAGGAGATGATTATGAACATTCCAGGAACCCCCCCCCCCCGCCCCGACGTACCCATCGCTCTTCTTGTACAGGCTGCCGTTCCGCTCAGTTCCATGTTCTTTGTTTCCCTGAGGCTGATGTAAGCTATAAGCTGTACTCTGGCGAATTTGGGAGTCCTAAAAAATAATCAGAAATTTGTATTTAATCCTGTCTAGGTCCCAATTTTTTTTTTTAAGAGACAGAGTCTCAGTTTGTCTCCCTCGGTAGAGTGCCGTGGCGTCACAGCTCACAGCAACCTCCAGCTCTTGAACTTAGGTGATTCTCTTGCCTGAGCCTCCCAGGTAGCTGGGACTACAGGTGCCCGCCACAATGCCCGGCTATTTTTTTGTTGCATTTTGGCTGGGGCTGGGTTTGAACCCACCACCCTCGGTATGTGGGGCTGGCGCCCCACTCACTGAGCCACAGGTGCCGCTCTAGGTCCCAATTTAAAAAAAAAAACAATACACAAAGGAAATTTAAGGCTAAAGGTGGATTTTTAAAACTGTGAATTGAAGAAATTTCTTCTCATGACACCAAAAGAAGAACATAAAATTCCTATCCAGGGACTCAAAAATGCCATCTATCAGGCAGCTGTATTTCTCCACGGTCTTGGTAATAAAAATAAAAATAAACTGTCCCTAAACGTAAAGGTTTGTTTCTGGACTCTCGATTCTATCTCTGTGATCTATACGCCTTTTCTTACGTCAGGACTACACTCTCTGCACTATTCTAACTGTGCAGTAAGTGTGAGTTTTTCCAATTTTGTTCTTTTTCAAGATCGTTTTGGTGACTCTGGGTCCGTCACATCTCCATATAAATTTTAGAATCAGCTTCTAAATCTGTAGCTGGGATTTTGGTAGGAATGGCACTGGATCTGTAGATAGAGGGGAGTGTTCTCATGGGAACATTAGGTCTTTCAGGAACATGAGAGTCTGGGTCTGACTTTTAAACTCTGCACCCCACCCCACCCCCCACCAAAAAAGCACTGCTCACATGAGGCACTCTCTATTACTGAATGGACGAATGACCCTGAAACAAGCAGACCCCAAAATGGGAGAAATACACTCATTTTCCACACAGAGTTCATGCAGCACTCAGGCCTCTGGACAGACAGGGCACACAGCTCCCTCGGGGGCCGAGGCTGGTGCCAATGTCCACGTTCTCTCAGAAGGCCAGTACATCAGCATGAGCAATTCAGAACAACCCAGGTTTCAATATGCTGGGAGCTCTGCAGTGGAAGGAAAACGAAGACAGACTGCTCACCGGCATGCAATCTCTGTGAAAGACTAAAAATAAACCTGTCAGAAGACTATCCTGCACCACAAGAAACGCGGCTATTGATTTGGGGAGGGAAATACGCTGCACAAAATGAGTGGGGACTTCATGTGACAGCACCACCAGCAGTATTCCTGCCCCGCATGTTAATCAGATCTCGCAGGATCACGAACAGGATAAAGGAAATTCTTCTTTTGAAAAGAATAAGACCTGATGCAAGAAGTTAAGGAAGAAACTACTCTGTCCTGTTCTTTTCTTTATTATTTATTTATTTTGAGACAGAGCCTCAAGCTGTCCCCCTGGGTAGAGTGCTGTGGCATCACAGCTCACAGCAACCTCTAACTCCTGGGCTCAAGCGAGTCTCCTGCCTCCGCCTCCCAAGTAGCTGGGACCACAGGCACCTGCCACAACGCCCGGCTATTTTTTGGTTGCAGCCGTCATTGTTGTTTGGCGGGCCCGGGCTGGATTCGAACCCGCCACCTTAGGTGTATGTGGCTTGCGCCTTAGCCTGTTCTTTTCTTTAGACCAGACAATTCTTGAATTAACTGAAGCAGGCAGGCAAATCTGAAGTTAAGCTACCACACAAAAATTTGTACAAAAGAGGAGGACAACCTGTTTAACATAAAATTGAACCCAGTAATTTAGCACTAATTATTTCAGCAAGAATAGCCTTTCTAACCTGTATAAACCACCTGATCCAAGCAAAAGGGCAACAAAGGCAGCCAGATCATCCACGTCACCAACGTTCCCATTTAATGGGATACAATCCAAGGGAAAAGAGTCTCTCTGTGAGAGAATCATCTAACATATGAGAGAGGCAGCCCGCCAAGGCAGTCCACGGTGCCCTGATGCCCAGACTCTCCAGCACACTCTGCTTCCCTGAGAGAGACAGGACGACCAGAGACTGGACCAAGGGAGCCTCCCCGTGTGGTAACTGCGTCTGGAGGACATAAATCAAGCAGCCACTTGATGGAACCTCAGAAAGGTCTCATAAAATTCTGTGTCCTTACATCCTCCATCCTGTGACATTAGATAAGCTCTCAGATCCAGGCACTATCTGTGATCTTAATTTTTATGTGGCCTAATGAAGTATTAACCACTGGTTCCTGCCAAGGCAGAATCTGCCCAGGTGAGCAGTAGACTCAGTATCAGAAATCTTCAGGAATGGGGGAAATGGGTGATGTTGCCTACTATGTTACAAATATTATCCACAGCTTTACTCACACCTGAGTAAGAATGCCCGGGCTAAGACTCTAGATCAGTGGTTCTCAACCTTCCTAATGCCTCCTAATGCCGCGACCCTTAATACAATTCCTCACGTTGTGGTGACCCCCAACCATAAAATTATTTTTGTTGCTACTTCATAACTGTAATTTTGCTACTGTTATGAATCCTAATGTAAATATCTGATATGCAGGATGTATTTTCATTGTTATAAAGGGGTCACGACCCACAGGTTGAGAACCACTGCTCTAAATTATCATAAAACTTTTATATTTTCTCCACCACTCAGCAAGTATGTTCAGGCAACTCTTATGATTTTGCTCACCGCCACCTTCTGGGGGGGGTAACGCATGCCTGTCCATGAAGGTACGGCTAGGAGAGGGAGGCCTTGCTGAGCAAGCCCTCAGCCCTGGTCTGTGTGTTTTCAAAACTCATTATCACCTGTTCTCCATTATTTGAGGATAATTTTGAAAAGACTCTGATATAAGATATTAAAGTCATATGACACAGCGGAGCGATAACAGGCCCCAGGTGGAACAGACCAGGGCCAAATCCTGGCTCCGACATCACTGTGGGAACCCCAGCAAGGGCATTTATCCTCTCTCAGACTCCAGCTGTTAACAGTGAGTGAATGCCACCTGCCCCACAAGGTGGTTGTAAGAATCACCAGTGACACTTGAGAAGTACCTGAAGAAGCCTGAAAAGTGAAGCAAGCAGGAAATGCTCTGGCACTGGACAGGAGCAGCCCACTCCTCCACCAGTGAGGGAACTCGCAGAGAAGGGGGACGCAGGCTGGGGGCAGCAAGGTCAGAGGTGCGGGGAGGAGCTTGGAGCCCACAGGACACCCCTGGAGCTCAGTGGGGAGGAGAGGAGAGGGGCCAGCACCACGAGGACATAGGACAAGTGACAAGACACTAGTTCATTCATTGCTGAATGAATGAATGAATGAACTTAGTGTCTGCTGATTGAGTCGTCAGAAAGGATCTCTTAGCTCTTCTGACAACATCCTGAGGGCCGCATTACAGGTGAAAAGACCAAGGCATGGAGAGAGGCCCAGCAACGTGCCCAAAGTCAGACCCAGGATTCAAACAGTAGGATCCATGTCTTCTGCTCTGCTAGCCAGCTACCCAGGCCAACCACCTCTGCCCACCTGATGGACCCTGCTAACTCTTCATCATCCTCTGAAGCCCCAACGTAGGTGTTGCAGCCTCTAGGAAGTCACTCCCGACAGCAGCTGCCCGTCCCACACCAGGCAGACACCCATTCTTGGAGTTGAGCTGCATTAGTGCTCATTACACTGCACCCCAATTGCCTCTCTGTCCCCAACCCCAGATCATGAGCTCCTGAAGAGCTGACACTATGTCTTATTACAGGGTATGTGTGTACAATGCTGACTTAGAGAAACAGCAGACAGTGAGGTAGCTGAGTGTGTGAATCAATGAACACGTCCCCTACTGAGGCTGATGTGAAGGCAAGGGCGAGGCCACCCGGGAGCTCAGCAGGAGAGCCAGCAAGTGGCCACCTGGCAGAGGTTTCTGATCGAGGCCAGAATTGGGCATGGTTCACGAAAGTTTACAGACCCAGACAGGAAAGCTAGAGTCAGAGGAAAATTATGGCTATGGTGGACCTTTGTACCTGGATGGCACAAACTATTCAACCACATCCTACTAGACAGTATCCTTTAGAGGGGAAGCAAAGCTGAGAGACAGAAAAAGAGGGAGAGAAAGGGAGGGGGAAGAGAGAGAAGGGAGGACAAGGTCCATGCAAAATGAGCAGGGCCGAGGGTTTTGAGTTTTCAGGTGGGATCTTTCCCAAAAGTCAAACACCACAGTGAAGACACAGGTGTTCACTGTACACAGTTCAACTCTTCTGTGAGTTTGAAAATCTTCGTAATAATGGAGAAGTCAAACAGGAGTATCCCTTTCACAAAGAGCAGAAAATATCAAGAACAAAGCATGACTGTAAGTGACTGGGAGGTCTGAGGGCACTGGGACCGTAATGGCACAGTCTCTACACAGCATAGCCCCAGGTGACAAAGAAAAGCAGCCCACACTGTGACAGCCACCTTCTTCACATCTTCACACCTCTGATATCTAAGATTTACGGGAACGGAGTGAGGAGCACCGGTTTCCACCAGCAAGTCAGGCACGTAACCTAGTTTTCATGGAGTATATTGTACAAGTTACAACTATTTGTAACACTGAATAAAAATCATCTAACACCTTTGGTTTTCTAAGTCACAGAAGAGAAGCCAACCAAGTGGGATGAGATCCTCAACGACAATGTCCGAGTGGTCGACTCTCACTGTGATTAGGGAAACACAAGTGGAAGCCCCATCACAGAAATCATTTTAAACACAGGAAATTCAAATGTAGATGGACATTTGCTTATTACTTGCAACTGTGTTCATGGATTGTCCAATTCCCTGTACACCACCACCAAAAAGCAACGCAGAGCGTGACATACACAAAACACAATAGGAAACCGGTGAGTGAGGTCTGGACAAGGAGCCAGCTGGGCGTGAAGCCAGAGAGAACCGGTACAGAAGGTTCCTTTGACCCCTCTGTGCTGTCAGGGGCAGATGGGCTGGTTGCCAAAAAAATAAGCCATATAAGCTTTCTGGGCCACGTTGGTAAATCTGTAATACTTTTCTGCAAAGCTATTAAGCAAAGCAGCTTGCTCACAGCAGCCAGTTTCCCCAAACCCTGATTCTGCAGAGGCAAAGCAAATGCGGCCTTTGCACTAGCAGCTGCTCTTCCCCATTTTAAACCTGAGCTTTGCTTCCATGGTCTGATCCTCCTGCTTAGACAAGCAGCTCTCAGCCACGTCCATCGGCCTGGGTGGCATTCGAGACCCCAAACCTAGCACCGTCTCTACTAGTTACAATTAAGTCCCTATTTTCTCTACATTCCAAGTTCTTTTTTTTGCCTTTTTGTGCTCATATTCCACATTTGGGAATACCAAAGCCTCACGGCCTATATTTGCTCATCTGGGAGGGGGATACCACGCTGAGATCTCCCTCAGTGGACTCATGTTACCAAGACCCTACACGGTGAGCACTTGTGGCACTACAACGTCCGGCTGGAGAAAAGGCATCTGTGTACATAAGGGACAGCCAACAGCCTAAAAAGGAACAGGCTGAGACTGGGGTAAGTCTTTCGAGCAAAACACACCTATGAACTCAGATCACTGTGAGCTGGGGTGATGAGAGGCAGCACTCCAGAGTCAGGGCTTCCCACAGACTAGAAGGATATGCAGGATTCAGCCATGGGGTGGGCGTGGGGGTGGGGGGGTAGAGGGTGGAGGCGGAGGGAGCTGCTTCATCTTCACGAAGGAATGGCAGCAAAGGCGTAACCTGTCAACCTGGGAAATGTCCTTTTCACTAATATTTGTGCCAACTCTTTAGCCTTTAATAAAATGTACTACAATGAGAGAGGAGGGGTTAAAGTTAAAATGCCAAAGCTATTAATATACTGTAGGAAGATACACACGTACAGATATAGACTGTATAAGTTCATAAATAAAGCATGCAGAATTCTCCAATCAGTTAAAATACTGGACTACTTACTCTCCTAGACTTCGGTCACAAAAGGCAAATGCATTTGGGAGAAAAACAACAATATTCAGTTATAGTACAAGAACGTACAGCAAAACAGAGCATATCAAACTGCTAAGAGTAAACTTTATGCTCTGCTAAGTAGTTTAGTGACTGACCTAAAATCCACATGTATGTTTAGATACACTGCTTTTATTGACCAAGAAGAATTTAACATAAATCCACAGTATAATGTCTACATTGTAGTGAGGATACAATGAATTGTCTTTAAAATGCAATTTCTAGTGGTTTTTGTAACAAGCCCTCCAAAACACAAATTATCACTGCTAATGTGTTAGCACACAGACATCGTTATATAAAACAAATGAAGTGAGAGAAAGGCAGGATTTCTGCCCATCAGGATGCAGCTGTATAAGAAAAGCCAGCTCCTCGCATTTTATGGAACACAATCTCGGGGCCAGAAGAGCCCCAGATGGTCACCCATTATGTGCCTATGCCCAGTGGGGCAGGGTCCATGTACATCAGGGCAGGGACAGCACAGAGGTTCAGGTAAAGAATAAATGGCACAAATGGCATGTGGCCTCTGTGATGAAGCCACTAAAAGCCACTCATTTAGCAACTTAACAAAAAGACTTTACACACTGCCATTAAGGCCATGCCTTTTAGCAAATGCTCCCCCCACCCAAATAAACATATTTTAAAAGATGGATTTATGGAACTAAATTCAAAGAACATACTAGATGCTTTAATGCTGTCTGACACAGCCTCACAGCAAGCTCCTGGAAGACACGACTTTTCACATTCTTCAGGCCTGAAGCCTCCAAGCCACAAGGATAAAACGGTGATGTTTCAAAATTAAATCCCCTCACCTCTTTTTGTTCAACCTGCAATGCTGATTTCAAAATATCCCGAAGCTGTATCAACTGTCTTCTTTCTTCGTCCTGGGCCTGTTTGATCTTTTGACAGAAAAATAAAAATAATAATAATAAAACAGAAAACTGAGATGGAGACACAGAGGAATGTTACTGTTATGGGATGATTATGCACCATCAGGACACCGGCCTCCCTCGTGAATTATACCTTCCCCCCAAGCAAGACAGGGCGGGAGTGGGAACTCCACACTCCACGCAACACGACAGGGCTATTCGTTTCTGGGAAGCACAGCGTGCAGATGCAAGATTCTACAGAAGCAACACGGATGTGAGAATATCGGCTGCAGACCAGCCATTCTGACGCCACTGTGCGAGGCAAGCTACTCACTGTGTGAAGATCTGTTGAAAGTGTTTCAATGGAAGGTTTGAGGCTTTCCACTGCCTTCAGTCCATCCTGGAAAAAACTGGGGAGGAAAAAGGAAAAATAGAAATTGCAATTCATGAAAGGAAAAACTATTTTGTTACGTGGAAAAGAAAAACTTTAAAAGTGACTAGAGTCACATAATTCCTGGGGGAAAAGACTGTATGAACAGAACCTTAAAAATATCCGCAAACCAAGAATAAGACGACACTCAGAATTAGAAGTGACTAGAAAAGGAACCGCAATAAGCCTAAGTATTCGAGATCTCAATTTTAAGTCTATAAAAGGAAAGGATTCTACTGACAAATGACAGCAAGGGCTTTGATTCAAGAGTCTTCTGAGCATCCAAATGGAAGGAACAGCATAAGGCACTAAGGATTTTCCTCAACAGACAACAGCTGAGAGGAAGAGAGAGGTGCAGAAAAGAACCAAGCAACTCTGCCGCATAGGAACGGCCGTGATCCACCTCTGCGGAGCAGGAAGCCATGCACGGAGACCTTGAGGTCACATATCCAAAGGAAATCTTCTTTTTTAAGCTGAGAACTCAATGCTGTAAGGTCATTTATAACAAGTGGAATACGACACAAGCGACACACATTTTTCCCCCGCAACAGTAGGCTGGTGTTCAGCGCCGTCTCAGAAGTGCCTCACGCTTTTGAAAGGAATGAAGATGAAGCTTCTCAGTGATCTCAAAAATTTTTTGAGAAAATTGAAAACTGTTTGATATAGTGCCATGTGAACGGGCTCCAGCGTCAATCCACACCATTATACCCGTTCATTTGCTTGGTTCTTCACACACACTGGCTTTCTCTCTGTACCTCAGTGGCCATCAAATTCTCCCTGCCCCAGGTCCTTTGTATGTACTGTTTCTGCTCACTAAAAGCTTCTCCCTGCAGAATATCTATGTTGCCTGGCTGAATCCTTCTCATTCTTTAAGTTGTAAGTTAAATATCACCTTATTAATGAGGCTTTCCTACTTCAAAGTAAGCCTCCAACTTTAAAGGAGTTGTCCTCATTATAATTCTCTCAAAGCACTTTATATTTTCCTTCAGAATGCTTACCAGAACTGCAATATGTATTCATTAGTGTGGTTATTTAAAATATAGTTCTCCTGTTGATCTGACGTTCTGTGAGGAAAGGGCACAGTATCCACAAAGCCTGGCACACCTCAAGCACACAGTATTTGTTGAATAAAGAAATAAACTGGCTCGGTGCCTATAGCTCAACCAGCTAAGGCGCCAGCCACGTACACCTAAGGTGGCGGGTTCGAATCCCCAGCCCGGACCTGCCAAACAACAATGACGGCTGCAACCAAAAAATAGCCGGGTGTTGTGGCAGGCGCCTGTGGTCCCAGCTACTTGGGAGGCAGAGGCAGGAGACTCGCTTGAGCCCAGGAGTTAGAGGTTGCTGTGAGCTGTAATGCCACGGCACTCTACCCAGGGGGACAGCTTGAGGCTCTGTCTCAAAAAAAAAAAAAAAAAGAAATAAACTAATGAAGGAAAAAGAGCTCTCAACTTCCACCAGCTTACTGGATATCAAGGAGACTAATTTTAAAAAGTAATCTGGCTGAGTATGGTGGCTCACACCTGTAATCCTAACACTCTGGGAGGCCAAGGCCTGAGCAAATCTACTAAAAATAGAAAAACAGGCAGGATGTAGTGGCAGGTGCCTGTAGTACCAACCACTTGGGAGGCTAAGGCAAGAAAATTGCTCAAAGCCCAGGAGTATGAATTTGCTGTGAGCTATGATCACAGCACTCTACCCAGGGTGACGGAGTAAGACTCTGTCTCAATAAAAAAAAAAAAGGAATCTGGGTTTCACACGTCTTATGTGAGGTGATGTTTGCTTCTTTTAAACCCAGCAGCAGCCCTGTGCAACTTTCCCATACCAAGTGTGACACAAAGCAAAGGGGCTGTGCCAACAACGAGGCAGGGTACAGAACACAGCAGTGCCAAGGAGGACGGAAAGGGAAGCTTGCGTGCCGGATGTGGGCCACGGGGCACTGCCAGCTAGTTATCTGGTGCTGCAGAGGCTGGGCTGTTAGAATGTCTTACTTAAGTCTTTAGATATACACATAATTCTTTACTTCATATTCTTGTTCCTGTATTTTACCTGTTTTTTTTCTAAATATAGAATACACTGCTGACATAGCAATTGAGTCAAAGTGTCCTCATGATCTATCCACAATTCTACCACTGCAGTGAGGATAGAAATCCCAGGACTTAGCATCTCTGGGCCATCCACCCACTGCACAGTGGCCAGCATGTACCAGATGCTTCTTCTCAAATGAAAAGGAAATTTAGGCAAACAACTGTAGAGCACAGGAATGAGAAACGGAGCTTCTCCCACTGTCATGAACTCATCTGGTTCTTACATCTTATTTACCTTTTTTCCTTTGTGTAATTATTTCCTTAATCAATTCAAATTCTCATAAAATGGTAGGAAGAGAAAGAGAGAGAGAGAACATGAGAAAGACAGTACTGAGGTAAGAGCAGAGCACAAAAATACAGGAGATTAACACAAAAATACCCCTGGGGAGAGGGAACAGGTGTTCAGCTCCCAGAACCTTTGCAACCTGGCAGCTCTCCCTACGGCAAGAGCACCGTGGAGTGGAGTCAAGTGCTTGGGGGCGTGTTTCTTGTCACAGACATAGCTTCCAGCAAGACACTGGGTGGTGCACTTGGAATAACAATGTGAATTTAGATTTGGATTTGGATTTCATCTTTGCAACAACTTAGCTTATCATAACCATCCATCCACCCGGAGAACCTTCTCCCTCCAATTTTCATATCCCTTATCTTTCTGCACCCTCTTTGTTGAGTGCGTCTGAGCACCCAGGCAGTTTCAAAATGCCCTCGGCCCTGGTGTGGGGCTGGGAGGGCATCAAGGAGCAGAGCTGCTGTTTCGCTGCCTACAGTCACCAAGACACACTCAGTACCAGCCCTGGCAAATTTCTTAAGTTGAGCCCATGAACACTTTTCCAAACTTCAGTAGAAGAATTTTACCATCAACATTACCAAATCGAATTTTGTTCCCTATTAAACATTTTATAGCCTGCCTCCCCAGATTCCCAAATCTTTAAGATACACCCACCAGATGCACTCTTTAAGTTCTCACCATGCAATGTGGCCTCTCTGTCCACTGGGCCCCTCCTAGTGTCCACTGACCTGTCTGCCCTTTCCAGTCCTGACAGCAAACTTCTCCAGTGCCCCCAGCCCAGTCTCATCGACTCTGCAGCCCGAGCTCGCGGAGCAACAGCTGGTCACAGTGGTTCTCAGCAGGTATTAAGAACATATCAATTCCATACTCGTTACCACTTTTTGGAACATGGCCATCTCTGTTTTATGATCACTGTTTTAAAGACAGCTCTTTTCTAGATTCCACTAGAGAACAGGATCCTCCACCTTCAACAGCAAAGGCTAATGAGACAGGTTTTCGGAATGTTCCAGAAATGGGGGAGAGATGTTGATTCTTTTCTTACATGAAATAGACAAAGAACATACAATATTTTTCAAGAACACTTAAAGTCAGAAGCAAAAATGAATCAAAAGCAAAATAATGCATATCTAGGTAGTTTTAAGGGTGAACACCAATCACAGTTCCTGGAGTCCAGTTTGTACACCCAGCCCCCACTCTGCGGAGAATGGGACTGTGCAAAGTCCTGGCTGAGCAGGCAGCCTCTGCCCCCCGGGGCACTGCAGCCCTCCGGTGACACCAAGCTTTGGGGGCTAGAAGTGGAGACTGGGAGGGTTCCATGAGGGAACACACAGCGCTCCCACGTGTAAAAACACACACATGGCTGCCAGCTCCACTCACCCAAGAGCTGAGTCACTTAGGAGCCACATTGTATCCCCAAAAGATGAATTTAGAAAGTCAAAGCTGTCCAACTGATTTGAAGAGCACGCAGTATACACACACACATTCTCATTCAAAAGGAAGCAATGGAAGATTCATATTTTTAAAGGTTACCCAGATCATGTCCATAAAAGGCCAAGTAGTTCACTTTTCCACAAGTGGTCTGTTGCTACCCAACTGATTAGTTTGGGCAAAATAAAAGAAAAAAAAAGGAAATCCCAGAATAGCTTCTGCTTAAAAATAAAATATCAGCAAGGAAGCGACCCACTTCCTAAATTGCCTCACGTACAGATAAAAACTGAAGAAGTAATTTGCATGTTAATCACAAAGTTAGAATGTTTGAGTCTTCGTAAAAGAATTCATATTAAAAATTTCAAGGTCTTTTCCACCCTCTGAGACAGACCACTTCTCCAAGCGTGGAGCTCTGGGATGAGCCACTCAGCACGTCCTCCTCTGCAGTGTGACCTCACCCACTCACGCAGCAACGTCAGGGCTGCACTAAGGATTCCAGGGCAGAGCTCGCTTCAATTTAACAGCACAACTCACTGTTGTAAATACATGCCAGGCAAACACGCCGGGCACTGTAGACAGGAAAACAAATCAACAACATGGCCCTTCCTTAATAAGTAGGTCAGTGGGAGACAGACACATGTCACGAAAGACACCAACATGGAGACTGCAGAGAGTGTGGTGGCAACACAGGAGGCAGAGAAGTCGTTCTACTGGGCCAGACAAGAACAACTGCGGAGTGGAAATGACAGATGAGCCAGGTGCTAGGAACAGCAGAAGAGGGAGAGCTCAGAGGCAGCAGGACAGCACTCCAGGAAAAGGAACATGTGCAGAGAAGTACAGTGCAGGGCACCGCCTGCTTGGGGAGACGTAAGCAGGTAGACAGGTGAGGCAGTTCAATGTCCAATAGACTGTTTTACATCAGTCCACATCTGCCACTGCCACTGTCACCAGTCCAGCCAAGCCACTGTCATATCCAAACTGCACTGGGACAGGAGCTGTGTAGCTAAGCGACTGCTCACATCCTCTGTTTTTAAGAGACAGGATCTCACTCTGTCAACCAGACTGGAGTGCAATAGGGTGACCACAGCTCATGGAAGCCTCCAACTGCTGGGCCCAAGCCATCCTCCTGCCTTAGCCTCCCACGTAGCTGTGATTATAGGCACATGCAACCACACTCAGCTACTTTTCTTTTTTCTTTTTTAAGAGGATGAGGTCTCGCTATGCTGCTCAGCCTGGTGTCAAATTCCTGGCTTCAAGCGATCCTCCCACCTCAGCCTCTCTGGGACCTGGGACTATTGGCTCATGCCACCCTGCCTAGCTGCCCACGTCCATTCTTGTCCCAGCTGAGTCCTTCTCCACAACATGCAGAGTAACCTTGTTACAGCAGAGAAGCCTTCCAGAAGCTGCTTCCAAACACCACCACTCTCTCTCTCACCACACTGTTTTGCCTTTTGATAAGCTGAGTTAAATCTGGTCACGTGTTTCCCACTTGTCTCCCCCATTAGAACCTAAGGTTCTAAGAACTTTGATTTTCTCTTTCTTAGATCACCAGAACTTTAAGGTACCTGGCACACAGCAGAACTCCATACCAATAAGTCCTCTGTTTAAACCTTTTCAAGAGCTTCCCAACACATGTGGGATAAAATATAAAACCTTTAACAAGACATCTACAGTCATCCACGTCTCCAAGGCTTTTCCACCCAGTTTCATCTCACGGTGCTGTCACCTTTTCTCAGTAGGCTTGTGCTGTCCTGGCGTCTTTCCTGGTTTGACTCTGACTCTGCCTGGGAAGTTCTTTCCCCACTTCCCCCAGAATCCTTCAGATTTCAGAATACTGCCTCCTCAAAGACGCCTGCAGCTCCTAAGTACCTGCATACCTACTGTGTGCCCTGGCATGGCTGTGTGTTCTGGCCACTAGACACTACAACAGGAAACAAAACAAAAAAAACCCACCCTAAATCTTTGCCTCCATTAGATCCTTCTGTTCTTTCTCAGGGTCCTACACTTCATACCACTTTAGTAAATGTCCAATTACAAATGTATTGCTGAAGCTCAACTCCCCTACCTGATCCTGGAGCAGGAAGTAAGCCTGCAGGGTACATGGCTTTATCTCCAGCACCGAGGACAGGGCCTTCAGTACAGCGCTGCGGGTAAGTGGCTGCTGGAACCAGCGGCCTGCTTCTTTCAGTGACAGAGAGAGGTCTGGGAGCTCAAGGGCCAGGCTGTGAAGGGCTGATGCTGGCAGCAAAGCTGAAGGGACTCCCCAAACATGAAGGTTTCTCTTCTCCTAACACCCTCCTTCATTCACCACAGTCACTGCCACCAGAGTAATATATCCAAAGTGTTTTCTTTAACACACACATCAACATCTATCATTTCCCTTTTAAAAACAAGAAACAGCTCAGAATGAGGATCAGCTAGTTTTCTTCTCTACGAAAAGAGCAAAAATATACTTGACAATTACTATAGAGTTCAAATTTTATATTGTATATATACTTTTATTTTTAATTGAGATCTAAGTCTCAAGCCATAACATCCAGCCTTTTAAATTTATTCTTTTAATAGTTTCTAGTATATTCACAAAGTTGTACAACCATCAGCACTATCAGATTCCAGAACATTTTCACTACCCCAAAAAGAAAGCCCAGACTTATCACTGGTCATTTCCCATTTCCTCCTTCCTCCACGTTGTAAGCAACCACTGATCTGCTTTCTGACTCCCTGGATTTCTCCGATTCCCGACCTTCCGAATAAAGGGAGTCCTTCAATGTGTGGCCTGCACCTGGCTTCCCTCGCTTCACATCTTTCCAAGGTCCACCCGTGCTGCACCTTCATCAGCATTTCATTCCTTTTCCTACAGATTTTTAAATGTGTGTGTGCTTTCCCCCGTGCTACAGCTCTACCAGAACTTGCCATACAAGAAGAAACATGTAAAATAACATCTGTAACAAAGAAGAAGAACTTACTTGCATTGGGCATGAAAATATTTGATCAGATTCTGAAGTAAATCCACTCCCTTTTTAATCTTGATTTCATTGACTTTCAGCAGATACTGTTAAAAAACAAAAAGAAAATGTCACAGATATGAGCAGAATATAGAAGCTTAATAGAAGCTTCTGAAGACTGAGGTCGTCTCTGTTACCTCTCTGACATCTCTGACAACAAGCACAGCTCGTGGTAGACGCTTACTATCTTCTAGATGGCATGACTAAATTTTTAGTTTGGGGCTGTATAAATGATCTGATGGTCAGGTAAGGACCTAGGAGACATTCTACCTTAACGCACTAGGAGAAATGTTCACTCTAGTTTCACAGGAGGAGGAGGACGGAGAGAATAAATGGGATTTCTAATCCTCTTGAACCTTCCTGCCCGCACACTTCTCTCCCAGGTCCTTTTCTTAGGAAGGTCTGGAATAGTAACTGCTAATCTTTTACAGCTAAGACCCTTGTCACAGTGTTTTTACTCTAGAGTTATCTCATTTCTTCAACACTTAAAAAACAATGTAACTGTAAATTGAAAAGAATTAAGGCCACTTCTAACATGGAGAGTTAATTAATGACCACTAAGACATCAGGGAGCCTCAGGGAATTCCAGGAAGCTGCAAAATAAGCCTTAGGAAGCACATTTGTTCTTTCCTAGAACCAGTTTATAGATCAGGGACTCTGTAACGCCTGCCCCCTCCACTGTCAGGAAATGGTATAAAGCTACAATCCCCAACCCCTGGGCCACGGACCACTACCAGTCCGCGGGCTGCTAAAAACCAGGCCGTAGACTAAGAGGTGAGTGGTGGGCAAGCAAGTGAAACTTCATCTGTAGTTCAAGCTGCTCCCTATCACTCCTGAGCTCTGCCCCCTGTCAGATCCTCCTATCCCCACCCCCGTCCATGGGAGAATTGTCTTCCATGAAACCTGTCTCTGGTGCCAAAAGGGTTGGGTACTGCTGGTATACAGGATCCTGGAATATCTCATCTCTGAGACAAGATGCCCCTAAAAGAACTGGTCACCCCCCCAAAAAAAAACAAAAAACAAAAAAAAAAAACTGGTCACCCATGCATAGGCTCTCAGGTCTAAGAGGGTGGGGTTTCAGGTGCTCTCTCAGCCTCCTTGCCGTCCAGTAAGGGGGCAGGAAGCTGCTCTGAAACTCCCCTTTGTCTCTAATAACTGTCTACAGGCACTCCTCTCTACAAGCCCTCCTCTCTATCCTTCTTTTTGTTATTTACTGTTAATTGCATTAAATGTTTGGCAGTGTATCAAAATATAAAATGTACGTGCACCTCGACCTACAATTCTACTCACAGGAACATATGCTGTCCCCCTGGGTAGAGTGCAGTGGCATCACAGCTCACAGCAACCTCCAACTCCTGGGCTCAAGAGATTCTCCTGCCTCTGCCTCCCAAACAGCTGGGACTACAGGCGCCCGCCACAACGCCTAGCTATTTTTAGGTTGCAGCCATCATTGTTGTTTGGGAGGCCCAGGCTGGATTCGAACCCGCCAACTCTGGTGCCTGAGCTGTTTGACCCACAGGCGCTGAGCCAGAACATCTTCTAAGAAGATAATCACAGAAGTTTACAAAGATGAACGGAAAAGAAGACTCACTGCAGCCTTGCTTGTGAAAGGGAAAAAGATCCACAAACACCCCAGCGTAATGAATGGGGAGTTCCGGTATGATGCACCCAACCATCTGTAGCCACTGGCTAACAAAACAGAATTTCGGACACAGAGATGTCCATGACATAACAGAGAAGGCAAATGATATATAAGCCTCAGCAGAGAATGATCTAGTCACACAAATTATTTCTATAAGTATATACACAGGAATATATGAAAGATAATTAAATGTCAAAGTGGTTATCTTTTATTAAGTAAAATTTGGGGCAATTTTTAATTCTCTGTCTCTCTCTCTCTATATATATATTTTCTTCTATTAACTAATTTTCCTAAAAATCTCACACCTACTTGATGTAAGTCTGTATTGCCTATTTGACACACCAAATTTCTTTATAAAGTTCTCTTTGAAGAAAAGGTTCCACATCTTTTAAATAAAAGCCTGAAAGCCACTCTTCTAGATCAGCAGTCCCTAGTCTTTTTGGCACTAGCGACCAGTTTCACAGGAGAACATTTCTCCACAGACCAGGCAGGGGTTGGGGGGCGGGGGGACCTGACAGAGGCAGAGCTCAGTGCCAGTGAAGGGGAGCAGCTGTAAATGCGGGTGAAGCTGCCCTGGCCCATCTACCACTCGCCTCCTGCTATGCAGCCTGGCTCCCAACAGGGTACAAGCTGGTACCAGTCTGTAGCCTCAGAGTTGGAGACCATAGTCCCAGATCAGAACCCGGGGAATTAAAAATTTTAACATCTTAATAACATCAAAGACTAACAACTCAGTTTGAGGAAACAAACAATGTAAAGAGGAATTTAATAGAAGCAATCTAACTCACTTAAGAGCTGGCTTCTCCACTAACTGCTTTTCAGATGTTCTTTCCCATGGAAGCTTTTTATAGCCCATGACTATATGGCCAACTTCTACTCCTTCATCATCAGATGTCTTCTCTGTAAACTCCAAATTCACTGTTTGGTAAGCCCGCACCTGCTTTACACGTGCATACAGCACGTCCCTTGTTGAGCCTGCCCTGCATTAGTGCCTGCTCAGTACAGGCTGGGCCCAACACCTGAGGACTGGCTCAACAGATGGCTCCAGTCTGTGCCTTACAGGCGTCAACTGCACAGTGTGTTTCCAACACAATGAGGGATTTAGCCACATCCACTCACTCAGACACAGAAGAGAAGTGATCAGAGCAAGGTGCACATGGCTCCCCCTCGTGCCAAGGCTACGCTCTCAACATGCTGCTTGAATTCCAAACTTCAATAAACATTGTAAGCAGTCTTACAGAGTTCAGGTCAATAGATTTTGACCTCACTAGCCAAAAAGAGCAGAACCTGACACATATACACACCCTTTCCAAATTCATTCTTTGTAAATTACCACTACTTAATTTCTGAATCTCTGTAAAACACCGCTACAAAATTTAACTATGTGAAGTAATACCCTGTGTTTGTGTAACACTCAGCAGTTTGCCAGTCCCTGGCTCATACTCTTATTAATTTCTCCATTGCCGTATGAAGTAGGCAAGGAAGGGAATATTGTATGTGATGTGCTGATTTTAAAAAATGTGTATAAAAATCCATTCTCCTACCTGATAATGCTTTGAGTTTACTTAAACTTTCTAAATATACACTTCATGAGAAACAAAGCAGCAAAGGAAGAACAGAGGAAGAAAAGACACAAGACATAAAAACAGCAGGAGTAGAACAGTCCCTCTGATCAACAGTGAGCGTGAATGCAGTAAACAAGGCCAGCAAAAGGCAGGACGGTCAAACTACATTAGGAAAACATGATCCCAGTGTGTATGTTGTCTATAAAAGACACATTTTAGATTAAGATACACATAGGTTGAATGTAAAAGGATGGAAAAAGTTATTCCTGGTGAATAGCAACCAAAAGAAAGCTGGAGTGGTGGTATGAAGCGGTCTACAGTTCCTGTGCTGGAAACTCAGGCCCCAGTGCAGCAGCACTGAGAGCCAAGACCTGGGCAGTGACTGCATTATGAGGACAGATTAATCCAGGGGTCCTCAAACTTTTTAAACAGGGGGGCAGTTCACTGTCCCTCAGACCGTGGGCCGACCTCAGGCCTCAGGACGTGTCGGCTGCTAAGCCGGACAGGCACTAGAGGCAAAAACACCCATGGGGCCAGATAAATGCCCTAGGCGGGCCGCAGGTGGCCCATGGGCCATAGTTTGAGGACACCTGGATTAAGCCATTGGTGAATTAACGGACTGTCAAGGGAGTAGGTCAGCTATCACTAGACTAGGTCTGGCCTACCAGCCTGTTGGGCCATCTCTCACGTGCCCTCACCCTGCAATTCTCTCACTGCCATGGGATCCTGCAGAGAGTTTCTACCACCAAGAAGGACCTCATCAGATGTAGCCCCTCAACTCTGAACTTTGCAGCCTCTAGAACTATAAAAAATGAATTTATTTTCTTTATAAATTACTCAGTCTCAGGTATTCAATTATAGCAACAGAAAATAGACTAAGACAAGTGGCTATACTGACATCAGGCACAACAAACCTTACAGCTTTCAACTGACACTCCTGGTTCCTGGGACTGATTCTCTACTGCAGATCACTAAGAGTTTGCTTTGGGAATAAAAATTCACTAAAATATATTTCTAAGATACATACTTCTAAAGACTTGGGTCCTGGCTCAGTGCCTGTGACTCAAGCAGCTAAGGCGCCAGCCACATATACCTGAGCTGGCAGGTTCGAATCCAGCCAGAGCCCGCCAAACAACAATGACAACTACAACCAAAAAATAGCCAGGCATTGTGGTGGGCACCTGTAGTCCCAGCTACTTGGGAGGCAGAGGCAAGAGAATCACTTGAGCCCAGTTTGGAGGTTGCTGTGAGCTGTGATGCCATAGCACTCTACCAAGGATGACAGCTTGAGGCTCTGTCTCAAAAAAATAAAATAAAATAAAATAAAGGCTCAGGTCCTGCTACATCAAAAAGCAAAGTCTGGATTAGCTTTGTTGCTGATTGCTTACAGGGAACTAAGAGCTACCAAAACCAATTTTGATGCCTATCACAAATATCACCAGTGCACCATGTACATTTAAAACTTAAGTTTGAGGCTGGGTACAGGGGCTCACGCCTGTAATCCTAGCAGTCTGGGAGACCAAGGCAGGTGGATTACTTGAGCTCAGGAGTTCAAGATCAGCCTGAAGAAGAATAAGACCCCATCTCTACCAAAAATAGAAAAACTAGCTGGGCATCACAGCAGGCACCTGTAGTTCCAGCTATTGGGGAGGCTGAGGCAAGAGGATCACTTGAGCCCTAGAGTTTGAGGTTGCTGTGAGCCATGATGCCACAGCACTCTACTGTGGGTGACAAAGCGAGACTCTGTCAATCAATCAATCAATCAAACCTAGGTTTGCACTGCTGTTGTGAGAAAAACAAATGCCATCTAGCACCAGAGCCTTCACTGGCATTGCCAAGAGCAGCAGCCGTTAGGCAGAGGTGGGAGCTGTCTCTGCACACCATTGTATACACACACATACAAGCAAGATCTAGAAATGAAAAAAGGTGCAAGCAAAGGCCTTCACCCTTGATGGTATCTGACCTCAGCGAGTGCTCTGAGAGATTTATACTGCCGTGTCCTCTGTCCCAGGCAAGTGGGGGAGGCTGCAGGGCAGGGTAGAGGGGAGCTCCACATGAGCACCCCACACTCCGCAGGTGAAGTCTGGGAGGAAGCGCCCCAGCCCAGCAGCATAGCTTCCCAGAACACACAGCACATCAACCCAGAGGATGACATGGACTGGTGTCCCTCAAGCTGCTTCGTTTTCCAGCAGAATTCTCATCCCAACCTCAAGGCAGTCACTGACTCCATGGGTATGAGGGGGAACCCAGACACCGATTTAAAAAACACCAGGAGCAGTGGCTCACACCTATAATCCTAGCACTCTGGGAGTCCAAGGCGGGTAGACTGCCCTGAGCCCACAGGTTTGAGACCAGCCTGAGCAAGAGCAAGACCCTGTCTCTAAAAATAGCCAGGCACTGTGGAGTGTGCCTGTAGTTCCAAGCTACTTGGGAGGTTAAGACAATCGCTTGAGCCCAAGAGTTTGAGGTTGCTGTGAGCTACGACATCATGGGCAACAAAGTGAGACTCTGTCTCAAAAAAAAAAAAAAAAAGCAAAACTGTTCTTTCCCTACTTTTGATGAAAGGACGGTGTTAGATTAATCTAACTCCACTCTAGGAGAATAAGATACCCCTAGTAAAAGAAAGCGTCACCGCAGGGACACGTGGAGTCCAGTAACACATTTGGGGTTTTCTCTGAAGCTGTGACAGATGGTCTCCATGCAGCAGCTCAGTCCCCATGTGCATGGGGGTCGCAGGTGGGGGCAGTCTGTGCCTGCCCAGCCACTGCATGTTCCTAGTGTCCCTAGTGCATGTCCCTCCCAGGGTCTCACCTCGCACATCTGCAGCTGGAAGAACCGCCTCTCCTTCTCCATCTCTTCCGCAATTTCAGCTCCACTTATTTCAGTACGAATCATGCCATGGAGCTTGGCATGTTCCTTTTTCTCCTTTTCTATTTTCGTTCTACATGTGAAAGAAGAAAGGAGGATATGTCAGGATGCCTCTTTGGCTCACTACCCCGAATAGGACGGCCTCCAGGGCCCCCAATTCCCAGCCTGCTGAGACCGACGCTCAGCACACATTTCAGGACAGGGCGGCCTCTCGCTCACGAGGAGGGAAATGCACGTCATCACAAACATGTCAAACCTGGCCTGCCCACTGCTCACTCACCAACTCTTCCTCAGCACCTACTTTCACTCGGCTCTGGGTCAGAAAGGGTGGAAACTCTGCACATGCCTTCTGCGATGGCACTCGGAGCTTGCCTGGCCTCAGATGGCCCCAAGGGACGTCCCCACCTCCCACATCTCTCCTGTTTCTGTCTTCACCTCCTCCCTCTCCCCACTTAGAGTTACATCACTGTAACAAACCACCCCTGCAGGCACGTTGATCTTAGGCCCGAACAGTATTTCCTAAACGTCAGGTGTGCAGGTCAGGGTAATAAACTAAGCAACGGGGGCACAGCCAGGCAAGAGCGACCAGGGTAAGGAGCCACAGAACCGCATCTGCCAAGAAGGGCTTGAAATACCTGTCAATTTTTATTCTGGAGGAAAGGGGACTGAACAAAACAGACAGGAAGCACTCAAAAAAATACACAGGGCTGCCATGATGACAAAGGCAGACAGAGGCACTTTCTGTAGGGCCTCAAGGAAGCCTCTAGAAGACATAAGGCAGCATCTCCATTAAGAGTCACTCAACAGTGACTCGGGATACTTGGCATTTCAGAAAGTCTCCATCACTGGGGGCAGGGGCTGGAACGTCCAACGGGAGGCAGGAAGTGTAATTTCTCTGTTTCTTTAGCTTGGAGCACACAGTAGCTAAACAGTCTGAAGGAGTGAGTGAGGACAAATACAAACGATTAGCTGACCATTTGGGAGGGACGTCCCTGACGCATTCAAGCAGCCCAGGAACGTGGTTGGAGAGCCTGGTGTCCGGGGGGCTAGAATTACACAGCTCCAAGGCGACCCAATGCCGTCCAAAGGACATTGGCCATTCCTCTTAATGATCAGGCACAGGGCTACTGCCCAGGAATGTTAAAGACCTCTTAAACCTAGTTGTTTCATTCTTGCCGGGAGGCCCTGTGCTATGTATCTCCCACGCTAACAGGTAAAGAATTCCCTCAAGTTTTAAAGGGTTATCCTCCCTCCTCCTAAACTCAGGGATTTCATGAGTTATTCTATCTATGTGTATGTGTATGTGTGTTGCTATTACAGAATTCAATGTTGTTCTCCATTCAAACCTCCTGCTTTCAGAATAAGAGGACTCTCTCAAGCAATCTTCTCCAGAAACACCTTTCTGCCCTTGATCCAGTCAAGCACAGAGGCATTTCCTCTCTGGCACTGAGGGGGCAGCAGGTACAGATGAGTGGATGTCAGGAAATCTGCTTCCTGGATTGGCTCCATTACTCTTTTACTGTTCAACCAGCAGCAAACCACTGGGTCTCAGTTTCCTGTCTGTAAGTAGGCATGCGCTAATCCTCCCCATTTATCCACTGAGCTGGTAACTGGTACCCAGGCAACAAATGCTAACAGGCCAGGAGTACAGGCTCGAGCCTCGCTCTGTGCAGCACACGGCTCCACGGCACTCTAGCCTGACGCTCTGTGCAGCACACGGCTCCACGGCACTCTAGCCTGACGCTCTTGTGCAGCACACGGCTCCACGGCACTCTAGCCTGATGCTCTGTGCCTCCCCAGGAATTCCAGAACTTGGGCTCCAAACAGGGATCAAGTCAGTATCAAAGGTGTAGTGTTCACTGATTTGAGCTCTGTGCTCCTTCACCCCTGAAAAGATACCCAAGGCCGTTTTTTGGTTTTTCTTAACAAAACCAAATAGAAAAAAAAAAAAAAAAAGAAAGAAAGAAAAGAAAAAAAGTAAGCAACCCACCCAATTAAATACTGGCAGTTATAACTGAAACAACTTTTTAACTTTTCACTTTTGGACTTCTACTAGGAAAACTCTATATTACATAAGGCACAGTGATCACTGGTAAAATAACTGAAACCACTATTCCCTGCAAATTGCTATATCAATTCTGTCTAGCTTGACTCTTTCCACTCTAGAAATGAGAAACAGTGATGCAAAATGTTACAACTGCCTGAAGTTAACCAGCTCACGGTCCTGCCTTTAGTGGAAAGTGGGGCATGGACCGAAGAACTAATTAGTCCCTTTTGGGGGTTCTTTTTTGGTAGATGAGACAATCAAAGCTGAAGGAGGTCGGTGCCGAACAATTTCTCTTACTACAAAACCAAGGGGACCAGTATTTCAGAGAAACACAGACACAAAGCTAAAAGCATAAACTTTTCACTAAACACCTGGAAGATGAAGCCTGAAAACCCCACCACTGTCCCAAACAGTAGAGCAGTGGAGAAAGAGTTTAAAAACGTAACTGGGGGCT